TCTATGGGACAAAATTTCACAGCTATTTTCCCCCTATTTCAGTAAATGATGTGTCAATATTGTAATTCTAGTGAAGCATGTTTTGTGTCGTCTTGTTATAGCCTTCAAATAACACCGTTTTTATACGAAATATTTATCAACATTTGATGACTGTAATAACATAATGAATCAAAAATAGCTCTTGTTGATTTCTTTAGTATTTTCATACATATTATAGTATCATTTTGAAGGTAAATGTCTTGGAGGTTATAAACATTCATTAGACAAAGAACATGCTCTCTTAAAATCCTATCAAGAAAAATTCTATGGAAAAAATCGTAATCAAGAAAGAAGCACTTTATTCTTTTAAGTACGTTACAAAAGTTGTTTCGTTAAAAATCTAATCAAGAAAACTCAATGAAATAAAATCTTAGTCAAGGAAAAAAGAGTACAATGCATATTTACCTTTCTCATGATAATATCACTTAAATTATATGCTTCACACATAAATTTTTTAAAGGATAGTATTAAAATTATATGAGATAAGTTCGTTATAATCACGTTTATTATATGCATATCAAATTTCATGCTTTGTTAGACTAATAAAATAAATACTTGTGATTACATACACCACATGATAAGTTATCTGTTTATACAAGTTTTCACGAAATTCATTATTGAAAGAGTCATACATTTCATATTACAATTTTATTTTATTTTATTTTAATTTTGCATAAATATACACATTTTAAGTGCTCAGACGGTATATACAAAAGTTCCAAGTTACTCAAGTAAATTTAATTTTGCTCGGATTACGTCCTTTTATTTGATCAATTATTTTTTCGATCGATATACTTTAATATATTTACTTTGACATCCTCATTATTCATAATATGAAATGGTACATTACGTACAAAAATACTGTGGACGTCTTTTTTTTTTTAATTCTATTTCTTTTGCAGAACGACATAACTTATAGAAATATCTAGATTTTCAACATATCAGATATCCAAACCTCTTCTGAGATTTTACAATTTTACTATGTCTAAATACTTATCAAGAGTACACCTCCTTAATGGGACTATCTTTGCTCATTGCTCCATTTTTGTTTGGAGGTTTTTGTATTAGAATCAGATATCATCACGTTTTAAGTGTTCCATAAATTTACCAAATACAAAATTAAAGAATTTCCTTCCAGAAGTTAATTCAAGTTGGAGTATT